TGTGAGCTTTCATTTGCTTGAATCAGCAGCACTGATGGAGTGACGCTGGTTAGTGAATCACACGTCGCAAAGGTCTCCTGAAAGCAGCTTGTTTCCTGTTGGCCTGTTCTGAAACCCTGCTCTCTCTCCATGACCGGCTGCCATTGTGTTGTATGTTGGGCTGTATCCAGGCACAAAAGACAGGCATTGGTTAGGGGGAAATTAGCCTCTATGGGGGAACTTTTCAGCACTCGCTGCCTTTTTGGACACCTGTCACATGATGGTGGACACGCAGATGGTTTGAAATCATATCTAAGTAAGACAATAAAGTAATGACGTCCTTGTGGACAATAGCAAGTGGGGTTTAAAGTAGAGTGGCTCCATGAATTACTACATATAGCTATTTATCATTAATATTCACTAAGATCAGTGACATTAGTTAACCCTGTAACTCCATGTGTATCACATGTGATGCATGTCATGGTTCTCAGGTTTTTTTCCTGTGTTCTTCATCCAGTTTGGAGTTACTGTGATTATTGTCTCGTCTGTATTCTCCTAGTTTAGTTATTCGTGTTTCTAGATGTTTAATTTTGTTCCCTTTCATGTCCAGTCTGTCTTAGTCTCGTCTCCGTGTGTCCTCCCTTGCGTCCCCCGTATGCAGTCAGTCTTGTCTCCGTGTTTGTTTCCCTTTCTGTCTGTGTGTCAGTTTGTCTCTGTAGTCTGTACTTCCTGTCTTACTTTGTCACTTCCTTGTCTTGTGTGCATTGTGTTTAGTTAAATTTCTCTATGTCCCCTTCCTCCTGTGTCAGTTCCCTTGCATTTAGTCGATTCGTGTGTATGTTACGTTTCCATTTAGTTATTTCCCTTCTTGTTTCCTTTGTTTCTTCCCCATGTTTACGTTTCATCTCTGCGAAGTTTGTGCTTTGGTCTCTGTCTCAGTGTTCATGCTTCCTGTTTTATTTTGGCGTCAGTGTTTCGTTTTTTCCCCTTTACAAAAACCTAAATTTAAAGTTTCACAATACATGTTTCAGCAATAAAATGCACCAAAAATGCAAATGTAGTAAATACGATACAAATTAAAACTCGTCAAGTTGATATTTAACTTGGTTCAGGTTTTAAAGGGTTCAGCAGAAGCACCAGACGCACATTCACGTCATTCAAGGTGTGGTGCGCTTAGGTGATGCTGATGATGTTGTTAGCTCTCTAGTCAGTTACGTAGTGTCTGTTTCATTTATTTACATTTATTTAAATCATGTGTTAGCCCTGCGACAGACTGGCGACCTGTCCAGGGTGTACCCCGCCTTTCGCCCTATGACAGCTGGGATAGGCTCCAGCGCCCCCCGCGACCCTGAAAAGGATAAGCGGAAGCGAATGGATGGATGGATGGATATTTAAATCATAAATTCAGGTCTATGTTAAATTCTTTGCGACTGTTCTGCCCTTTGGGACATTTCAAAAACACTTAATTTGTTTTAAAAATGCACTCTGTTTATTTTATTTCTTTCTAGCACACTAGCAAGCCACGATAATGGCTGTATTTAGCTGTATAATACACAAATGATCAAGTATGGACAATGGTGGATGGTAATAGGTTTCGCTAGAGGCAGGGGCTGCAAATCAAGTTCACCTCTGGGCTCCATGAAACCTTGGGCTGGCTCTGAGTTCATCTTATTTACATAGCGCCAGATCACAACAGCAGTCCTCTTACACCGATTTAGATAAAGCCAAAGAATAAAACAAATCTACATGTGTAAGCACTTGGTGACAGTGGGGAGGAAAAACTCTCTTTTAACAGAAAGAAACCTTCAGCAAAACCAGGCTCGGGTAGGAACGGCCATCTGTCGCCAGCAGTAGTGCTGGGAGTGCATCATGCAAGATCAAGCTGTAATCTGAACCTACAGCAACGTGACTAAAAAGTTGATTCAGGATCCCCTGATCCAGCCCCAACTATAAGCATTATCAAAAAGGAAAGTTTCAAGCATAATTTCAAAAGTAGAGACAGTGCAAATTCCCAAAATCGAAACTGGGAGGTGTTGCCACAAAGCTGAAGGCTGTGCCTCCCATTCTGCTTTTAAAAACTCCTTCTGAGAGGTACAAGACATTTTTTTAAAAAGTGCTTTTTAAGGGTGGAACCTTGATTCTGCTTTAACAGTTGTGTCAAGTGACAGATCGCCTCATTGTCAATTCAGCATTTTCACCCCAAAACACTTCTGACTCTGAGTCGTCTTGAGACTGATTGGTGTTTACATAGAGCTGATCAGAAGTGCCATCCGTCCAGCCTACATAGGATACACCGAATCTAATCTTCAGCTACATCTTTGGATGGAGGAAACTCATGCAAAAGCCAGAACAGCTGCACCACAGTGCCACCTTTAGCACATAAAAAGTTTAAAAGAAAAATAATCATTCTTTATTTATTCCAGAAGCCAAAAACAAGTCACAAAACACAAAAAACAAGTTAAATAAAAATAAAAAAGACAGCGTAATCACCATGACGAGACATCCACACCAGTGTCTCCATAATAAAAACCGATAACATTAACTTGATATCCATCAGGCCCGTGATGATCCCGTTCTCAAAAGTGTTGAGCCTGCAAACAAATTTATACATGAGGTTTCATAATAGAGCTTCAAATGTGCTGACATGGACTGTAGATTGTATACACTCAAAAAACATGAAATCTCACTGTTGCTGGTTTAAAGAATCATCTTTAGTTTTATTTTAAGAAGTTGTGTAATGTGGTTCCACCCAACTGCGTTAAGCAACTCCTGACTGCTTTTATGGAAACGTTAAACTGGCTCAGCAAAAAAACAAAGTTTCACTGAAATAAATCAAACACATCAAGTAAACTTCTTCTCTGTTTCTTAGAATTCAGATCAAGTCAGTTCAGTTTTATACTGTAAGGTAAAGACCCTACAATAATAGAAAGAAAACAGAGAAAACCCCCTTAAGAGGAAGCACTTTGGTGAAAGTGGAAAGGAAAAAAATCCCTTTTACGAGGAAGAAACCTCCAGCAGAACCAGGTCAGGTTTGCCACCAGAGATTAATAACAAGTAATGATTCGATGCAGAGAGGTGTATTAACATATAGTGAGTGAGAAAGATGACTGAGGAAGATACATTCAGTGCATCATGGGAAGTCGCCACCAGTCTAGGCCTACTGCAGCATAACTAAGGGAGGATTCAGGGTCACCTGGTCCAGCCCTAACTATATGCTTTAGCAAAAAGGAAAGTTTTAAGCCTAATCTTAAAAGTAGA